CTTGGCAGCAAAGAGTATACCAAGTGGTGACCTCCCTGAACACAAGGGCCAGGTTTAACTTATTTCTGTCACCCTGTCTTAGCACAATGTCTTTCCTTGCAGGTGTTCAGTGGATGTTTGTTGAATTAAACTCACATCCTGCCTCTCGCATACTGATCTCATGAGTCGAACTTAAGCAAAGGCCTCTGTTTTTCAAAAAGGAAACTCCCATCTTTTGCCTTATGTCATGTTTCTTACTATCATATTCCCATGCCCTCTCACCTAATAAGGAAAAGCTTTGTTCAACTCCAGTTCCTACAATTCCTAGGGCTTTGCTCCTAAAATGTTCACAACAGCCCTGTCCCATAGATATATAATGTACACCATATATCTAATTTAAAAATTTTTAGTGGGTGCAATTTGAAAAGTGAAAAGAAAAAAGTAAATTAATTTGAATAATTTAACCTAATATGTCAAAAAAAGTATCCAATAATTGCTTTGCATTATTAATATCTTCCATCCTTTCATTCATACTCTTTGAAGACCAATGTATGTTTTACATGTACAGCACTAACCACATGTGGTTAATGGCTAACTTTTTGGATCACATGGGTATAACAGAATCTTCTAATTTTTGTGTACTCACCACATAAATAAATTCAAATAGAATGAGAAAGCCACAGAAGTATCCATCATTGGCAAAAGAGAGAAATTCAGTCAAGACAGAATTACTGGGCTGGGGTTGTAGCTCAGTGATAGAGCACTTGCCTTGCAGGCATGAGGCCCTGGGTTCGTTCCCCAGCACCATATAAAAAAATAAACAAATAAAAATAAGGATATTGTGTCCATCTACAACTAAAAAAACATTTAAAAAAAAGACAGAATTACTTGCTAAGTCATATGTAATCTCATTCTTTCTTTTTAAACTATTAAGATATTTCACCATAGGTGGGCAAGGTGGCACATGCTGTAATCCCAGCAACTCCAGAAGTGAGGCTGGGGAAATCACAAGTTCAAAGCCAGCCTCAACAACTTAGGGAGGCCCTCAGCAACTTGTTGAGAAGTTGTTTCTCAAAATTAAAAATAAAATGGGCTGGGGATGTGGCTCAGTGATTAAGCACCCCTGAATACAATCCCCAGTACAAAAAAAAAAAAAAAAAAAAAACCTCACCATTAGGTAAACCTGCAATTAAAAACCATATAGTTGCCAGGTGCAGTGGCACACACCTATAATCCCAGCAGTTCTGGAGGCTGAGGCAGGAGGATCATGAGTTCAAAGCCAGACTTAGCAAGGGTGAGGGGCTAAGCAACTCAGAAAGACCGTGTCTCTAAATAAAACACAAAATAGGTCTGCAGATGTGGCTCAGTGATTGAGAGCCCCAGAGTTCAATCCCTAATACCAAAAAATAAAAAAATAAAAAAAAATAATTCAAGTTTTTTGGAAATGCTTGTAAGTCATTAGCAGTTCTTTGCAGGCCTCATCCATTCCCTCTACCTTTCTTTTCATCTCTGTCTTTCCTCACTCTCCCTCACTTTTCCATAGCTTGATTCCATATTTTCTCCTACTCTGAACTGACAGTTTCCCAGAAACTTGAAATATTTACATTGTTTATCTGAACTCCTGGAGCAAGCATTCCTGCTTGCAGACGTGGGATTCCATCTGTTAATAAGGCTGACATTGCATCATCCAAGTCATTTCAGAGTGTAGGAGTAAGAAGTTATTCAATTAAAAATATAAAGCCAGATTTTTTTTTTAGCTCACATTCCTGAAACCCATAGGGAAAAAAAATGTAATTGATGCAGACGAGAAAGTGTCTCTTAAAATAATTGTTTGCCAAAAATGACAAGTTAGTATTTGGTACGTAGGTGGCAGGATAAAAAAGGGTTGACTGCCAAACTTGGGCTCATAGGGAGAGAAAAGTAGGATAAGGCCATATGGAGCATGTTTTAAAACAAAATGTTGAACAAGAACTCAAGTGTGATAAACATGGTGGTCAGGAGAAGAATGGCTGGTATGCACACTGCAAAGTAGAGTCTACAGAGTGAGGAGACATTTCAACATTTTAAAAGCCTAGCCCACGGCTCCCTACTCATTGTTCTTTTTTGGACCACATTTTTCCCATAAAAATTCTGAATACAGCTAGGCATGGTGGCACATGCCTATAATCCAAGAGACTCAGGAGGCTGAGATAGGAGGATCACAAGTTTGACGCCAGTCTCAGCAATTCAGCAAGACCTTGTCTGAAAATAAAAAATAATGACTGGGAATGTGGCTCAGTGGTAGCTCACTTGGAATGCATGAAACCTAGTATCGATCTCTAGCACTGCACAAAAATAAACATATAAAGGCTGGGAATATAGGTCGTGGTAATGAGCCCCGGAGTTCAATTGCTGATACTGGAAACCAAAAAAAAAAAAAAAAAGAATATATGCAAAGGCAAGATAATAAGCAATAATAAGGAAGCTAGAATTGTAGCACTATACATCCAAAGAAACTCAACTATGTGGTAAGCTTCTTCACATAGACCATGTGGTATTGATCCCTGCATCCTTAACTTCTTGCTCAATGCCTGCACTGAATAGATAGTAGTTGAATGAATGAATGAATTGGGTGGGAACAGTGAGCTGCTGACAGTGGGTTCCAAGTGATGGGTGAAATAAAGGAGAAAGATGCTGCGGATTGACTGAATCCTTTAGGGAGGAGGGGAGCCCAAAGCTGGAAAAGTGAAATGTATAGGAAGAAATAAGTTCTACAAGCTTAGAGTAAAAAGCTCTCAGGCTGAGAGTATGGTTCAGCGGTAGAACACTTGCCTAGCAATTCACAAGGCCCCAGGTTTAATCCCCAGCACCAGGGAAATAGAAGGGGGGGAAGGGGGCACAGATAGAGATAAAAGAGTGAAAAAGGTTTGAAAATAAGGAATTACCCTGCAAACCACAGGAGTACCTCCTGGCTCTGCAAGATAATGTTTGATTGATGACATGATACCAACTAACCAGTTTACACACACACACATACACACACACAGAAACCCTGTCGCCACCCAGTTATGGATAAAACCCATAATTCATTCTAGGCAAAAGCTCTATCACTTGGGCTACATCCCCAGCTCCAGAAATTACATCTTCAACATTTTCTGGATCTGTACCCAGTAGTTTATGATTCTGATGTTTTCCTGGCTGACTAGTAATTTTCTCCACATACATCAAAAATACATTTCCAGTGCCACCCTATATCTTAAAGCTTTGACATTAGCTTCCCTGTGGGTTTTGTTTTCTTTCTGAGATGGGGTCTTGCTATGTTGTGGGATGTCCTGGAAACTCCTGGGCTCAAGTGATTCTCCTGCCTCAACCGCCCCCATAAGCTGATACTGCAGATACATACCACCACATCTGGTCCCATCTGTTAAAATAAAAAAATTTGCTTTCCAAAAACACAAGAAAAAATATTCCTATGTAAATGTGTAAAACAGGCTTAAAATATTTAGATACCCACATATGACAAATAATGGACTGGTTGATAATAAAAAAGGGTCAACTCAATTCAGGCACAGTGGTGTACACCTGTAATACCAGCTATTTAGGAAGGTTGAAGCAGGATTGCAAGTTTGAGTCCAGCCTGGATAATTAAGCAAGACCCTACCTTAAAATAAAATTAAGAAAAAGGGTCAACTCATATAAGTGAATGGGCCCAGAGCTTTGTCTAGTTGAAGTTTACTATTTTGTTTGCAATACTGGGTACTGAACCCAGGGCTGCTGAGCTATACCCCCAGCTCTTTTAAATTTTTTTTTGTGATACTGAGGATTGAATTCAGGTTTAATCACACGTGCTATGCAAAGCCCTCTACCATAAAGCTGTATCCTCAGCCCTCTTTTTATTTTTCATCTTATTTTGAGATAGATGGGATCTCCCTAAGTTGCTGAGGCTGTCCTCAAACTTGTGATCCTCCTGCCTCAGCCTCCTGAGTTGCTGGGATTATAGGTATGCACCACCACACTGGGCTGGAGTTTACTACTAATATTCACCTACTAATGATTCCATGAATTGCCAAGTTAGAAATATACTTGCCCCATTCCTGCCTCATAAATTCCTTTCTCAAATATCAAGTGATTCCAACCTAAGACTTTATGCTTAATTTCTAGCAAGATTTCTCAGAATCGGCTTAACCCTGGTGAGATCATTTAGTTACACATCTTCATTAAAGCTCGTCTCATCTGGGCAATTGTTTAAGTCTTTGGATCTTCTCACTGCGAAGCAATTGTTTTATAACATTTGTGATCTAATTATTTTTCAAATATACTTGGATTAGCAAAATTCAGCAGTGGGTGTGCCTTTCAGTAGGGAGCAGACCACTTTTTACATTCTTTAGAACTAAGATATAGTCCAGTATTTTAAACCATAGCAACAGTTGATAAGAAAAACAGTGAAAAGGTAATCATTTCCACATGGAAAGAAAGAGGAGAAACCAGTGAAGCTGTGAACTGTCATTTTTCCATATAAAAATAAAAGTCACTACTTGTCGATCTGGCAGAAAGGGCACATATCCCTGTGGCTTCCCCATTTTACATTGGTTAATCATTGCATGTGATGTGTTTTTTCAAAATACACAATTCCCCCTCAAACTCAAATTTTTGCCAATTTCCAAGTGAATTTTGTTCTCCTGAGTGAAACTCAAAACTGTGGGTGTTACATTCAGCAAGTACTATATATTGCCTTGGTGATAATTCTCAATTTAGTGAAAAATTGGGGTGTAAGTGCTAACTCCTTTGACTAGAAAGCATATAATGCACTAGACCCTGGGTTCAGCCCCCAGGACCACAAAAAGAAAAGCAAATAAGAATCTGACCCAATTTTCTTATGTCCAGAAAGTTTAAGAAAAGCAAACAAGCTAGATGTGGTGGTTGACACAGGAGGACCACAAGTTCGAGGTCACCCTGGGCAACTTACTGGGACCCTGTCTCAAAAAAATAAATAAATAAAAAGGGTTGGGGTGTAATTCATTGGTAAAGTTCAAACTCCTGTATGAAAAAGAAAAGTACACATTCAGTTGTTTATTTTTTTGTATTTAGGCATGATAAACATTCATTGCCAAAACCTTGGCATTTATTTACTTATTTTGGTGCAGATTGAACCTAGGGCCTCATGCACATTGGGCAAGTGCTCTACAACCTAACCCTAACCCTAACCCTGACTTTTTAATTTTATTTTATTGTACAGGGGATTTAATCCAAGGGTGCTTAGCCACTGAGCCATATACCCAGCCCTTTTTTATATTTTTTATTTTGAGACAGGGTCTCACTATGTTGCTCAGGGCCTTGCTAGATTGTTGAGGCTGGCTTTGAACCTCCTGTCAACCTCCCAAACTGCTGGAATTACAGGCGTGTACCACCATGCCTGGAAAATTTTGGGGTTCGAGACAGAATTTCACTGTTGTCAAGGCTGGATTCAATCCCCAGGACCTGGTCTTAAGTCATGGGCTCAAGTGCTCTTTCTGCCTCAGCCTCCAGAGTACTGGGACTACAAGCCTGCACCACCACACTCCACCGATCCTGATATTTATTTTTACTTTTTAATTAATTAATTTATTTTTGGCTCAGGATTTAACTCAAGCCCACTTTACCACTGAGCAACATCCCCAGCCCTTTTTACTTTTTGAGACAAGGTCTCTCTAAATTGCTGAGACTGGCCTCCAACTTGTGATCTTCCTGCCTCAGCCTCTTGAGTTGCTGGGATTACAGGCATGCACCACCAAGCCTGGCTTATTTATTTTTATTTTTTTTTAATATTTATTTTTTTAGTTGTAGTTGGACACAATACCTTTATTTCACTTATTCATTTTTATGTGGTGCTGAGGATCGAACCCAGGATCTCGTGCATGCAAGGCGAGAGCACTCTACCACTGAGCCACAACCCCAGCCCCCTGGCCTATTTATTTTTAAATAGCTACTTAAAGTAGAAAAATCTTACTCTGTTATGGAATATTCAAAATAGATGATCACACAACAGAATATGACAACATCTCCCTCTTGTGGTTCAAAGCGTTCATTTCAAAGATGAATATAAGTACAGAATTACTTTTTTTTTTTTTTTTTTGCTACTGGGGATTGAACGCAGGGGTGCTTACCCTCTGAGCCATATCCCGAGCTGAGGCTGGCTTTGAACTTGTGATCTTCCTGCCTCAGCCTCCCTAGTCACTGGGATTATAGGTGTGTGCCACTACACCCGTTATCCCCAGTCCTTTTTATTTTTTATTTTGAGACAGGGTATCCCTAAATTGCCAAGGCTGGCCTTGAACTTGCAATCTTCTTGTCTCACCCTCCCAAGTCACTGGAATTACAGGCATGCACCACTACACCTGGCTCAGAATTTTAAATTCTTAGTTTACAATTGTGCTGTGAATGTTTAGTAAATCTTTTTTGGAGTAAAGAAGGACAATAGAATATTCCTTTTTCATAGATACTTTCAGAGTTCCAAGATCTCTGCAGATGTTTCCAAAATTCTTTTAAATTGGGCACTATGGCATGTGCCTGCAGTCCTAGCTGCTTGGGAGGCTGAGGCAACAGAATGCCATGGCCTAGTAGTTCAGACTCATAGAGCAGCATGGGCAACATGGCAAGACTCTGTCTCAACAAAATAAAAGTTCTCTATGGGAGTAACATTTTTTTTTTTGTCTCTTACAAATGAATTACTAAGTAGATGATTTCATTGAGAACTTGTTATTCCCTATTTAAAAATTCTCTGTGGTACGGTGATGCACCCTTGTAATCCCAGCAACTCTAGAAGCTGAGGCAGGAAGATTCCAAGTTCAAGGACAGCTCTGGGCAACTTAGTGAGGCTCTAAGCAACTTGTCTCAAAATAAAAAATCAAAAAAGCTGAGGATATAGCTCAGTGGTTAAGTACCCCTGGGTTAAATCCACAGGTCCAAAAAAAGAAAGAAAAAGTCTGGGATATAGTTCATAGATCAAACTTTAAAAACAGTAGTATTGAACATATTTCAGTCCAAACATTCCTAAGGTTTTCAAAATCAGATGTTAGAGTAACTCGAAACAACTTGTTCTAACAATGTGAAACTGTCCAAAAAGTCCTCTTCTTCGATTCCAAATTTTGTATACTGATGAACGTAGGCTCTAGTGAAAAAGAGAAGAAGTTGACAAATAAAAAACTTCAGACAAACGAAATCAAACAATATACAAACAATAAATAGACCACTTCTACCTCATGAATATTCAAAAATCACAGAATCTCTTAGAAATCTTATATTTGATTGTTTACTCCAAAGATTCGTGAACTTCCACCTTGTCAAGTTTCTGACCTTTTACCGTCCAACAGAGTGAGAAGAAGAGGCACACAAGGGCTGGGTGCCCTGGCACACACCTGTACTCCCAGCTGCTCAGAAGGAGGATGGCAAAGTCAAGGCCAAAGGCCAACTACAGGGCTGGGGATGTGGCTCAAGCGGTAGCGCGCTCGCCTGGCATGCGTGCGGCCCGGGTTCGATCCTCAGCACCACGTACAAACAAAGATGTTGTGTCCACCGAAAAACTAAAAATAAAATAAATAAATTCTCTCTAAAAAAAAAAAAAAAAATTCCAGATGGATTAAAAAAAAAAAAAGGCCAACTACAGCAATTTAGGGAGGCCCTCAACAATTTAGTGAGCCTCTGTCTCAAACTGAAAAATAAAAAGGGCTGGGAATGTAACTCAGTGATTAACCACCCTGGGTTTATCCCCAGTACAAAGAGGGGAGCGGGGAGAGAGAGAGAAAGAAAAGAAAGACAGGGAGGGAGGGAGAGAGGCACAAAGGAAAAAGAAGAAAAAGAAGCATATTCAGGTTTGGATATCTATCCAGCACATATTCAACACTCTATGGGAGATGACTGGGTTCAATATGAACTCTAAAAAGTGTCTGAAAAATTTCATCTAAGGCTTGAAGTTAGAAACACATCAATCTGATTTTAGGACTGTAGTGAAGCCTCCCAAAGTGCTTTTAAGAGAACATTTAATTTGAACCTATACTAGGGTGTCTTAGTCTCTCCCCCACCTCAATGTTCTAAGACAGAGTCATGTCCAAAAAAAGACTATCAAGGGCAGACATTAGTTGACATAATAATGGCTGCTGCCTCTTATTAAGAGTCAATGAAAGAAAGAGGCCAGAAGAGGACAGAACATTCACATCAGAAGAGTGAGGGCTTATGGAATGGCCACGTGCAGGATGACCAGGCCCTTGGGAATCCTGGCTAATCAATCCTAGCTAATCCTAGCTAATCAGGCAAATGAAATCAAACAATATACAAACAATAAATAGACCACTTCTAACTCATGAATATGAATATGTTCAATCATTTGAGGAATTTTACTTTGACAATAAGTAATTGTCAATTGGTAGAGGTCAATAACCTGCTAGAACATTCTTTAGTGTCAAGCAGAGTTGAACTTCCCATATACATTACTGAGGAAGATCTGAATCTCTTTTACTCTCATAAGCGTCTTTTTTTGGGGGCAGGGGGTGCGGTTGGGGTACCAGGGATTGAACTCTGGGGCACTCGATCACTGAGCCACATCCCTGGCCCTTTTTTTGTATTTTATTTAGAGACAGGGTCTCACTGAGTTGCTTAGACCTCACCATTGCTGAGGCTGGCTATGAACTCATGATCCTCCTGCCTCAACCTCCCAAGCCACTGGGATTATAGGCATGTGGCACTGTACCCGGCTACTCTCCCAAGGGTCTTATATTTAAAAACTATCTTATCGTCCCTGCCTTATGGTGGAATTTCTACTTTAATTTCATTTCTACTCTAATTTCATTTGGCTTAGAAAGTACCCATTTAGTCAACAATAACAATATCAATATAATGATAATAGTGTAGAGCAATTATTGAGCATTTACTAGTGGGACAGTGTTCCAGGTGTTTTACATGATTATCTCATTTAGTCCTCACCAGAGTTTCTCAGTTAAAACCCATAATGCAGATGAGCCACAGAAGTTACATGCCCACGGCTTCCCACCCATAAAGTAGCATCTGGGCTTATTCCGATCCTTCATGGATCATGCTCTAACACTGTTATGTGTCTAAGGTGAGAAGGTCTATAGATTTCTTTCTTACTTACTTTGAAGCAAACATATTCCACGCTTTGCCCACAATCATATCAAGAGGCTTTACTAAGAACTGGCTATTGCTGACGAGCGCTGCAGACTTCTCATATCTGTTAAAGGCTCGCTGGATTTTCCACACATTGAAGGCAATGTCAGGCTGTAACCAGGAAGTGTAGAGAGCTGGATCTTTAAATCCCTCTAGAGTAAAAAAAAACAAAAACAAAAACAAAAACAAAATGACATGAGCTATTTTTTATAGCCTAGATTATTAATTGTAAAAATAAATGAATAAACATTTTCTCATCCATTTCATTAGAAATTGCCTTTTATTTATTAATTTTTTACTCTATTATTTGCTGGGGGGTGGGGTTATTTATTCATTTTTTGCAGTGCTAGGGATTTAAACTGAAGCCTGGCACATGCTAGGCAAATGCTCTACCACTAATAGGGCTGATACCCCAGCCCCACTTTGCCTCATAAATGTAGCTTTATATGGCTTTTGGATAAATGATCTACATTCATTGTTCCAAAAATAAGTAGTAATAATTCACACCATTCAGAAAAGTATTAAAAACAAAATTTAAAAATCACCAGGACAGAGTTAGGGATGTAGCTCAGTTGGTAGAGTGCTTATCTCACATGCACAAGGCCCTGGGTTCAATCCCCAGCACTACAAAAAAAAAAAAAAAAAAGAAGAAGAAGAAATTCATCAGGACAGCTGAAATGTCCCCACTCAGAGATAATGGCTATGAACCTTTTGTGGACCTTCCTGTGTGCTCAGTTTTACACACAGGTTCATACATATTCTGTATTTTCTTCATTGATGTGTTGTGAATTTGTTTGCATATCAAGGATCACTTATGTTTAAAGGCTTCTTAGATGAACATGCCAAAATTGAAGAAATTTCCTAGCATTGGCCATTTAGAATATTCCCATTTTGTAAAAAATGTTACACTGAACATCTCTTGTGCATTTGTGTCATTTGCTATGGCTAAATTTTTAGAAATTAAATTATTTTAGGCATAGTTTAAAATTTTTTTTTTAAATCTAAAATGAAAACTATTGCCAGGTATAGTGGTGCACGCCTGTAATCCCAGCAGTTTGGGAGGCTGAGGCAGAGGCTCACAATCAAAGCCAGCCTCAGCAACAGCGACGCACTAAGCAACCCAGTGAGACCCTGTCTCTAAATAAAATGTAAAAAAAGGCTAGGGATGTGGCTCCGTGGACAAGTGCCCCCGGGTACCAAAAAAAAAAAAAAAAAAAAGACTATGAAGTAGGTATGTCATCCAATTGACTTGAAATGATCCTTTATAAATTATTAGTTCTTTGTTTAAGTGGCAAATATTAGCTGGGTGTGGTGGTGCACACCTGTAATCCCAGCAGCTCAGGATGCTGAGGCGGGAGGATTGCAAGTTAGAAAAGACCTAAGCAATTTGTGAGACCCTGGCTCAAAAAAATAAAAAGAGCCGTGGCTGTGGCTCAGTGGTTAAGTGCCCCTGGGTTCAATCGCTGGTACCAAAAAAAAAAAGCAAATATCACAAGGACAAATTGTTTTCTTCCCTTTCTTTCTTCTTTTTTTGCAGTACTGGGAATTGAACGCAGGGGCACCTTACCACTGAACAACATCTTCAGGCCTTCTTATTTTTATATTGAGACAAGGTCTTACTAAATTGCTGAGGCTCACTGGGAGCCTGTGATCATCTTACCTCAGCCTCTTGGGACTACAGGCATGCACCATCACACCCAGCTTGCATGGTTTTTTTTTTTTTTGTACGTAATAAGAAATAGCAGGTTTGACACTGCTGAAGTCAGTTTATATTATAAGGATAAAATAAATCTAGAAACCAGTCACAGATAAAAACTAATAAGAGTACTGCTCTTTCAACTTCTAGAAAAAACTGCAACAAAGTGCTAGTCAAACCCTTGCTGGGCAGTGGCAAGCACTTATAATCCCAGTGATTCAGGAGGCCGAGACAGGAGGATCACAAGTTCAAGTTCAGCAACTTAGGGAGACCCTGTCTCAAAATAAAAGGGCTGGGGATGTAGCTCAGTGGTAAAGTGCCCGTGGGTTTAATCCCCAGTATTGGGGGAAAGAAAGTTTGTCATAGAGATCATTGATTGTCCAAGGATTCCTATTTTCCCCTTCTTCCCTAGTTGCAGGACTCTTAGTTTTTTTCCCAGTGCTCAGGCTGAACCCAGTGCCTATACATGCTAGGCAGATACTTAAACCACAGAGGTACACCCCCAGTCCTTTAACCTCTCAATTTATTTTTCTTTCTTTTCTTTTTCCTGCCTTCCTCTCTCCTTCTCCTCCCTCCCCCCCCCCTTTTTTTTCTACTAGGGACTGAACCCAGGTGCATTTAACCACTGAGCCACATCCCCAGTCCTTTTTTAAAAAATTTGAAACAGGGTCTCACTAAATTACTTAGGGCCTTGCTAAATTGTAGAGTCTAGTTTCAAACTTGCAATCCTCCTGCCCCAGCCTCCTGAATTGCTGGAGACCCCCAAACTTTAACTCTTCTCATAGCCACCTTTACAGTTAGGTGTGGCACATGACTCAATCCCAGACAATGAAACAGAAATGGAAGGGTGATGTGCAACTTTCAGAGTGGGGAGGAATGCCTTTCTTTGCTCATTCCTATGTGATTTTGTGTGTGTATGGTGCTGGGGATTAAATCCAGGTCTTCGTGCATGCTGGACAAGCACTCTGGCACTGAGTTACTCTGCCAGCCCATTCCTATGTGATCTGATGGCCAAAGCTCTGGCAGGTGTCATGACTATGTATGTGGAGCCCCAAGGGAAGGACGGCAGAACAACCAGATGTTTGGAAGAAAAGAATTAAACTTTTATCTTGTTTTAACCACTTCTATTTTGGTGTCCAGTAATATACAAACTGTTACCACAGTTCTAGTTTGATGTTAAAACACAGTTATTACTTTCTTTTCTTTTTCCATATTTTTTTCAACTTTTTTTTTTAGTTGTAGATGGACACAATATCTTTGTTTTATTTATTTATTTTTGTATGTAGTGCTGAGGATCGAACCCAGTGCCTCATACATGTGAGGCAAGCACTCAACCACTGAACTACAACCCCAGCCCTCCATATTTTTATTGGTGATTTTTTTATTATTTTTTTCCTCCATTTTTTAATTGTTTTTTTTTCTTTTTTTCCATAGTTTTTATCATATGTTTCTTTCTCTAAGAATAAATATACAAGTGGGATTGTTTTTTTTCTTGTTGGTACCTGGGATTGAACCGGGGTGCTTTACCACTGATTCATATCCCCAACTTCTTATTTTTTGAGACAGTGACGCTGGCCACCAACTTGGAATCCTCCTGCCTCAGTTTCCTGAGTTGCTGGGATTACAGGCATGCATACCCAGTGGGACTTCTTTTTCAACCACTTGCAGGATGTGAATTGTACACCTTAATTTTCACCTTAACTTCTGCTTACCGAGATCTGCATTTTGTACCTCTTTCCCACGAAGGATGACCAAATTAGCAATGGAAGTGTTAAAATGCAGCTCCTTCTTGAGACTCATTTTCCCAATAGCTGGAAGTCCGGATATGGGAGGTCGTACCTGCCAATCAATCCCTACCGCAAGAAGGGGAAAAAATGTCTTGTGACATATATATTTTACATAAATTTTTATTAGCTATGTAAAAGTTGATTTTTCTTTCTTTCTTTTCTTTTTTTTTGGTACCAGAAATTTAACTCAGGGAATCTTAATCACTGAGCCACCTCCCCAGCCCTGTTTTGTATTTTATTTAGAGACAGGATCTCACTGAGTTGCTCAGTCCCTTGCTTTTGCTGAGGCTGACTTTGAACTTGCAATCCTCCTGTCTCAGTCTCCTGAGCTGCTAGAATTCCAGGCATGTGCCACAGAGCCTAGCTTTGTGTTTTTCCTTTAGAATTTAAAAATTCTCATCTGGTTGAATTATTCAAACTGCTGAGTCCTAAAAAAAAAAAGGCTGAAATATTCATCATTGAAAATCAGGCATGGTGGTATATGCCTGTAATTCCAGAGACTTCTGAGGCTGAGGCGGGAGGATCACAAGTTGGAGGCCAGCCTTAGCCATTTAGCGCGACCCTCAGTAACTTATGAGATGCCAGTCTCAAAACAGAAAGTAAAAAGGGCTGGAGATATAGCTCTGTGCTAAAGTGTCCCTGGGTCCTAGGTCCAATTCCCAGTAGCAATTAAAAAAAAAAAAAAAAGGCCCCAATCTTTAGAGGAATCTGATAACATAGAAACAGTTATAAAACTAGATCCTACAACCTGACCTGTGCCATAAATATATTTATTCATATACATATTCATATATTTAAAAAAAGAAAAGATTCAGGGGCCAGGAGTGTAGCTCAGTAGTAGAGTGCTTACTTAGCATGTGTGAGGCCTTGGGTTCAATCCCACAACCACAAAACAATAACAAAAAACACATTTATATGTTCAAACTCTATCTATAATTGTGAAAAACTGTTAACACCCTAAAGTCCCACATGGGAAAATGACTAAGCAAACTGTGGTTTATTGACTTAAGACAGCTTGGAGTAGAATGTCTCAAACTACCCTAAGGAACATTGTGTTCCTTGAGATACTAACAGGTATTGCTAGAAAAACAAGTATTGTGGCCAAAAACTTCGGGAAGTGCTACTTTAAGATGTGGACTTTTTATTTATCTTCAAACCTCTGGCACTATAATCTAAAAATCTATATGCTAATACAAGCAAATGTAGAGAAAATCCACTTTCATAGTATTTAAACCTGTTATCTTACTTTGCAATATAATATATGCTACTAAAATAATACATAGTGATTTCTAGTTAAACAGGAAATACTGAACATATACCAGTTTACTGCCTCTCTCTTTTCAAATTCCACAAAAATGGAATAATATATATATATATATATATATATATATATATATATATATATTTTTTTTTTTTTTTTAATTTTTATTTTGTTTTCAGTGCTACAGATCAAACACAGGGCCTCCCACATGATAGGCATGTGCTCTACCACTAAGCAACATCCCTGACCCGATAGGGACTTTCTTTAAATGCATAAATAAGAGGGGGAAATAAAGAATAAGAGGAGAGAAGATAACATCAACAAAATTTTGGAAGCAGGGTCAGCAGATGAACCACTGGCTAATGAATGTAAGCAACTAGGAAAGCCAGAACTTCCGCCCATGCACTGTTGGGGTCCTAGAAGCAGGCTAGGCATTTCTAAAAGTGGACCAACAAGAGGATTAGTTAAAAATCTATATGAGAAGCAGTAATAGTCCTTGCTCCTTCCTACTTCTTGCAGCAGAGGGAGTACCTTCCTCTATCCTAGGTTTCTGCTCTGAAAGGTTAAAGCAGAGGCCCTAGCCTCAGTGACTCCGGGCACAGCCATGCTGTGAACCTTACCAAAAACGGGGTCTCTAAGGGGAAGCTCTTCTGAACCAGTACTGAAGAGACTGGCAGCCAGGTTTAGTGGTTCACACCTAGGACCTCATGCACAGCTAAGCACATGCTCTATCACTGAGCTACAGCCCCAGCCCCTCCCATATTATTCTGATTTCTAATCCTGTCTTATTCTCTCTAGAAGCCTTTAGAAGGTTCTCTCTGTCCCAGACATTCTGAAATTACTCGGTATAGGTCCTTCATCCATCTCAGAAGAATGCAGGACTCTTGAGGACAGGGATTTTTTCTTTTTCTATTTTTTTAAAACTTCTTTCACAAAGTTACATCCCAGTTCTTTTTTACTCTTTTAAATTTTTTAAAAAATTTTGAGACAGGGCCTTGCTGAGTTGCTGAGTTTGGCCTTGAACTTACCATCCTTTTGCCTCAACCTCCTGAACAGCTGGGATTACAGGTGAGCACCACTACAACTTCTCACTGCACAGATTCCCAGTTTCTTCTTCTCCAGGTACTGGGGATTCAACTCAGGCACACTTTACCACTGAGCCAGCTCCCACTACTTCCTATTTTGTATTTTAAAATAGGGTCTCTCTAAATTGCTAAGGCTAGACTCAAACTTGAGATCTACTTGCCTCAGCCTCCCAAGGCTCTGAGATGACAATCATGTGCCACTATGTACAGTACTACACAGATGAACCTAAGGTGCTTAACCACTGAGCAACATCCCCATACATTTAAAAAAAAAAAAATATATATATATATATATATATATATATTTTTTTTTTTAGTTGTTGATGGACCTTTATCTTATTCATTTATGCAGTGCTGAGAATCGAAACCAGTGCCTCACACATGCTAGGCAGGCACTCTACCACTGAGCCACAACCCCAGCCCGCCCATGTCCCCCCTTTTTTTTTGTATTTTATTTAGAGACAGGGTCTCACTGAGTTGCTTAGGGCCTTGCTAAGTTGCTGAGGCTGGCTTTGACCTTATGATCCTGCTTCCTCAGCCTCCTGGGCTGCTGGGAGTACTATACAGATTCTTGATTGCATTCATTAGTCTTGTTCATATAGTACCTCTCTGTGGTGTATCAAAATTGACTTGAAGCTGGGTGCCATGGTGCACGCATGTAATCCCAACAGCTACGGAGGCTGAGACAGGAAAATTTTGAGTTCAAAGCCAGCCTTAGCAATTTAGCGAGGCCCTAAGCAACTCAGTGAGACCCTATCTCTAAATAAAATAACAACAACAAAAAAAAAAAATCGGGGGGGCTGGGGATGTGGCTCAGTGGTTAAGTGTTCCTAGGTTCAATCCTAGTACAAAAAAAAAAAAAAAGGATTAAGTTGGATGTGGTAGTGCAGGCCTGTAATCTCAGTGACTTGGGAGGCTGAAGCAGAAGGATTACAAATTTGAGGCCAGCCTCAGAAACTAAGTGAGGCCCTCAGGAATTTAGGGAGAATGTGTTTCAAAATAAAAAACAAAAAGTGCTGCATATGTAGCTCAGTGGCAAAGCACCCCTGAGTTCACCCCCAGTACCAAAAAAAAAAAAAAAAAAAAAAACAAAAAACCCCTTTGTCTCTAAAATACTGAGTGAAAATGATTCATAACCTCAGAGCCTATGCCTGGTCAAATGGAAAGCTGAATAATGACATTTATAGCTTCAAATTCTTTACCTTCCCAGTACTCTTTTTTAGGAAGCTCCTAGAGGGTATGGTCTACCAACATGAGGGAATAAACCAAGAAAGAGGAGGATCTGAAATCCATTAAGCTGGGGCTATAATATAGTATGAGGCAAATGGAGACACCTGCTGGCTGTTTATCAAGCCTGCAGAGCAACCAATCCCAACAGAAAGAGGAGGAGGAGGGCTTTCCAGAGACACATCCCCAAGCAGATAGTGAAAGTAAACTGTTCCCTGAGGGCTTAACATGTTGAGAAGGATTCATTTTTTGTAGATGGACACAATACCTTTATTTTGTTTATTTACCTTTTTTTTTAATGTGGTGCTAGAGATGAAACCCAGTGCCTGCCTGGCAAGCGCTCTCCCACTTAGTCCCAGCCCCAGCCCAAGAAGGGAATCATTTTTATGGAAAAGTGTCAGGTAGATCAGTGATAGGTACAGTGAATACTGACCAAATAAATAAAATTATTAACAACTCTAAAAGGAAAAAATAAATTCTACATGAAACGTTAAGAAGACAATGGTGAATATCCACAACAAGAAAATAAGACAAAAAAAGGTAGAAGCAAGATATTTAAAAAATCTGGGAGCAGATTTCAGAAGAAACAGCTAAAGACAAAGTAGTTTCATCTGAGCAAGGAGCAGTTGTAGGACAGGGGACTACTGTTCTTGATATTATAAATTCATACTGAAAAATTACTTCACTTTAAAAAATTGATGTAATTTACATACACTGCAATGTATAACTGTAGGTATATGTTTAGTTGTGATTTTTTTGTTTGTTGTTTATTTTTCCTGGTGTTAGAATTTGCACCAGGGGCACTTTACCATTGAGCTATGTCCCCAGCCCTTTTTATTTTATTTTTTTAAATATTTATTATTTTTTTTAGTTTTCACGGACACAACATCTTTGTTTGTATGTGGTGCTGATGATCGAACCCGGGCCGCACGCATGCCAGGCCAGCGCGCTACCGCTTGAGCCACATCCCCAGCCCCCCGTTTTTATTTTTTATTTTGTGACAGGGTCTCACTAAATTGTGGAGGCTGGCCTTGAACTTTACAATCCTCCTGCCTCAGCCTCCTGAGTCACTGGGGTTACATGCATGTGCCAGTGCACCCAGCTTAAGTGCACACTCAAACTCTTAAAAAATGATTTTTTTGTTTGTTTGTGGTATTGGGGTATCCAGGACCTTGTGGGTGCGTGCATGTATACAAAGCATGCACTCTACCACTAAACTACCCTCTAGTCCTTAAATGAGTTTTAACTACTTGATTTGAAAACTATATTGAGGGCTGAGATTGTTGTTCCGTGGTAGAATACTCTACTCGCCTGCCACATGTGAGGCCCTGGGTTCAATCCTCAGCACCACATAAAAATAAATAAATAAAATAAAGGTATCCTGTCTGGCTACAACTGAAAAATAGTTAAAAAAAAAAAAAAAGAAAACTATATTCATATATTGTTTTAATTAAAAGAAAATAAAAATTTGAAAAAACATATGGCACTCATCCGAAATGTTTTTTGGTAATGTCAAAACGGTGAAATGAAAGTTTTCTTGTAGGCCTTGGTGGCTCATGCCAGTTTCTGCAACTTAGCAAGACCCTGTCTCAAAAAAAAGAAGAAAAAGAAGACTTCATGTGGGTCTGGGTATGGAGCTTAGTGGTAGAGCACATGCCTAGCATGCACCACGCCTTGGGGTCAGTCCCCAGCACAGGAGGACAGAGCTGGGAGGTGGGAAAGAAATGAAAAAGCAGCAGCAGCCTTCCTGTGATGTCCTGGTGAGTTTCTGCAGTAGCCTCCCTGGCAAGATGAAGGAATGTTTATATCAACTGGCCCAACCCAGTTTATTCTCAGAGCTCTAGGACAGGCACTTTTCTCAGCTTGTGGACTGTGTATTTTAAAAAACCCTTTACCTTCTTCCATTTTCGCATTAGAAATGAGCATCTGTCTCAAATGTTTGAGGAGGCCAGTCCAAGTAAACGTGCTATATGCCAGTGAATTCTCAGACATTTGAGGAATGTTACGAATACCCAGCATCTTGAATTCAGGATGGGGAACTAAATTCTCCATTAAGTCTCCTATAAAGAAAAAAAAAAAAAAAAGATTTGAAGTAAATTTTTTTAAATTCTAGACTGTTGACATTGGCCTATATATAATCACGATTTGTTTTTCTGGGTCAAATGCTTTCTCAAAGGCCAGCATTGGTTAAACTTTAAAATAATAAAAATTCAGAGAAAATGTCTAATACAGACCACATCTCTGGTTCATTTTGGCATCCATTTTAGCACAGGTGAGAAAATACAGTTTGCCAAAAAGGAAACAAGAATTCAGAAGCCAAGTAACTGAAAAATGTGAATGAATATTTAGCTAGATCCCAGGAAAACAAAGAAAACATGAGGGCTAATATACTTTTCTTGTCTTTTTGTGTTCACTAAATATTTTGTTAGAAAATTTTCTAGATTTAAATTTTTTTTTTTGAGAGAGAGAGAGAGGGAGAGAATATTTTTTTTAATATTTATTTTTTAGTTTTCGGCAGACACAACATCTTTGTTTGTATGTGGTGCTGAGGATCGAACCTGGGCCGCACGCGAGCGCGCTACCACTTGAGCCACATCCCCAGCCCTAGATTTAAAATTAAAAAAAAAATTTAGTTGTAGATGAACATGATACCTTTATTTACTTATTTTTATGTGGTGCTGAGGATTGAACCCAGTGCCTCACATGTGCTAGGCAAGCGCTCCACCACTGAGCCACAACCCCATCCCTCTAGTTCTTCTATTTATCTGGTTAAATGATAATCAAAATTAGGCAGGTGCAGGGTGCAGTGGGACATGCCTGTAATCCCAGCAGCTCAGGATGCTGAGGCAGGAGGATTGTGAGTTCAAAGCCAGCCTCAGCAAAAGCGAGGTACTAAGCAACTGAGTGAGACCCTGTCTCTAAATAAAATACAAAATAGGGCTAGAGGTCTGGCTCAGTGGTTAAGTGCCCCTGAGTTCAATCCCCAGTATCTCCCATCCCTGCCACCTCCCAAAATCAGGCAGGCTAGGGATGTAGCTCAGTGTTAGAGCCGTGCTCAACTGTTTGGAGAGAAAGGAAGGAAACAAATGTGAGTGGCCATGGGGGGGGTGGGGGAGTAGAGGTGTGCTGGAGTTTGATCCCCAGCACTGGAATTAAAAGAAAAAAAATTTAAAAAAAGAAAGAAAAGAAAAGAGAAAGAAAAAAGCCTGCTAACATGAAACCCTACTTGGAAAGAAGACAAAATTAATAAATTCCTTGAGACAGAAATGTGCCTATTTTTAGAAACTTATATTTGTAATAAAATTGAATTAAGGAGAAAGGCTAATTTGTTTTACATTGACAGTTGTTTTATTTATTTATAGAAAATACCTACAGCAGAGAGAGAAGAATGTATTGCCATAATATAAAATGTAAATTTTATGACATTTTGAGTGAATACTCATGTCCTATGTCCTAGTGAAAAGAAAATTTTTGACACAAACATCTACAAAATGCTGCAAAAATGGGTTTACACTAGTGGACTTTCCTCTAAACATAAAAATCCTTTTCTATAAAACACCTAGAGTCAAAGTCTAGAGTAAAAGTAACACACAGAGCTGGAGTTGTGGCTCAGCGGTAGAGCGCTTGCCTAGCACATGCGGGGCCCTGGGTTCGATCCTCAGCACCATGTAAAAAGAAATTAAATAAAGGTATTGTGTTTAACTACAATTAAAAATAAATATTTAAATAAATAAATAAAAATAAAGATAATATGTCCATCTACAACTAAAAAAAAAAAAGTAACACAGTCACCAAATAACACATGGATTTTTTTCCTTTGGCAGTCCTGGGAATTAAGCCCAGAGCCTTCTACTTATAAAGCCATCACTCCTGCACTGAGCCACATCCCCAGACCTCCTCTCCAGCTTTCTTGTTCAACTGCTGTCACCTTATCCATTTTTGGACCTCACTGAGAGCCTAATCCACCAACCTCTTCCCTTCTCAAATCATCAGACTTCTTCTTTCTGGCAAACTCCCAGTCTTGGATCAGTCCCTCTCCTCACATTCTCAGTCAGAGCACAACTGAAGAAAATCAGACCGCATGGCAGATTGGGACCCCCTTGAGTTCTCAATCCCTAAACGTAACACCAATTTATGACTTAGGTCCACGCTACTTATGAACTTCAGATACATATACTCCCCACCCAACAAGTATTTTCTTGAGTGTTTACTATTCGCCACAAACTGTTCAAGCACTGAGACAGAGTGGTAAACAAACTAAACAAAAATTCTCACTTTTTAGACATTACTTTCCTATGTTCATATATGACCAATGTAACTGGTCATATTTACATGATCAATGTAATTCCACATCATGTACAACCAGAATGGGAAGATGTACACACACACATACACACACACACACACACTCTCACATTCTCTCTCTCTCTCTCTCTCTATATATATATATATATGTGTAAATAAAATTAATCTCATATAAAATTTATTTTATAATTTATGTATAAAATATGTCAAAGTACAGTCTACTTTCATGTGTAACTAAAAAGAACAAATAAAAAAGTTTTTTAAAAATCCTGATTTTAGCACGACTCAGTGGCCCATGTTTGTGGTCCCAGCTACTCGGGAGGCTGAGGCAAGATGAAAACTTAAGACCAGGAGTTCAAGGTCAGCCTCAGCAACATGGGACAAGATAGTCTCAAAACAAAAAAGGAAAAGAAAATTTAAAAAAAGAAAATACACATGCTAAATTTTAAGAAGCAGAAGGCAAGTAAAAAACTGGGACTGGCAAGAATACAGCTCATTGTGAGGCCCTGGGTTTCATCTGCAGCTCAAAAAGAGAAAAGAAAGAGAGGAAAGAAAACTGGGACATACAACTTTTGGGGAGATTAGAAATGGAGGTAGAGGGCTGGGGATGTGGCTCAAGCGGTAGTGTGCTCGCCTGGCATGCGTGCGGCCCGGGTTCGATCCTCAGCACCACATACAAACAAAGATGCTGTGTCTGCCGAAAACTAAAAAATAAATATTAAAATTCTCTCTCTCTCTCTCTTTAAAAAAAAAAAGAAAAGAGATAGAGATAACAGAGTCAATTACATTTATTTATTTATTTTTAGTTTTCTGTGGACACAACATCTTTGTTTGTATGTGGTGCTGAGGATCGAACCCGGGCCGCACGCATGCCAGGAGAGAGCGCTACCGCTTGAGCCTCATCCCCAGCCCTCAATTACATTTAGATGATCTGAATTAATAAGGTACCACTTGAAGAAGAACTGAAGAAGAAAGAATGGTGGGAAATATAAAAATGGTCAGAAAATACAAGAGCAATTAGGAAGGAAGAAGGAGAGTGAAGTCCTCAAGCTGACAGGTGCAGGAAGGAAGGTCAAGAAGGGAGCTGTCAAGTATAAAATGCTGCCATAAACTCAGGCTAAGACAGGTCTGCTGAATTTGGGGAATGGGCAGCTACAGTGGTACAAGAGACAGAAAGAGAGAAGGCCAGTGGCAAGAAATTAAAAAGGGAAAAATATCATCTAGAAACCCAAGGAAAACCTAAGAATGAAAGAAAATGTTTGCAAATCAATATATTAGATAAGGGACTTATATCCAGACTATATAAAGAACACACAGCTAGGTGAGGTGGTGCATGCCTGTAATTCCAGTTACTCGGGAGGCCCATGCAGCAGGGGGATCACAAGTTCAAGGCCAGCCTCAGTAACATAGTGAGACCTGTCTTTAAAATAAAATATAAATAGGGATAGAGTATCTTGCATGCACAAGGCCCTGGGTTTGATTCCCAGAACCACCTACCAAAAAAAAAAAAAAAGAAAGAAGAAAGGATCCTGAATGATTCAGTTAGTGTATAGTATCTACCACTCTTGAAAAATTTAGCAACTTCTCGAGAATTTCAGTACAGCAGTTCAGAGATAAAAGCAGGCCTGAGAGAAGGTTTTTGAGATGAGGGAGACTTGAGTATATCTTCAGGTGGAGGAGAGGAGACAGTAAAAAAATAACTTTGAGGGTTTCAGAGCAGGAGACTTTCATACAAATAGCACACAGAGGAATAAATACCTAGTGGGTTTCTTCTGTAGTGAAAAGCGCCTTCTTCAGAATAAGTAGGCTGAAACACACTTCCCAGCTGATGTGCAAGGACTTGATTTATATCACTAAAGGATATCTGCTTGATATTCATGAGTTTTGCACAGATCTTATGGACAGCATCGTTCTCATGAACAAGGAGGGCATCTGAAGATCGGTACAGGTGAGAAAGAGTCATAATGGAGTTGTAGTTCTGAACAATAACCTGAGGAGGAAAAGGTCAGAAACAAGAAAGACAGGAGAGAATAGTGGTTAAGGGTAGAGATTCAAAAGATAACAAGTCTAGGTTTACATCCTGGCTCTGTGATTTTCTAGCTGCATGACTTCGGGCAAGTTTTGTAATGTCCGTATGCCTCAGTTTCCGCATTTGAAAAATGGGGATAATAATTACACTAGCATCAGTTCTAAAGATTAATATAATGCAAGTAAAGCACTTAGAATCATGCCTTGTACACAGTAAGGGCATGACAAATATGAGCTATTACTATTATGCCTCCTTCCTACATCATTTCCTAGAATGACTCATCTTACTACTAGGCTGATCACAGGAAATTGGCCTGCATAGAAAATTTCCTCCCAATGGAAAGAAATTATTTGAGCTAGGCATGGTGGCGCATGCCTACAAACGCAGCAGCTCAGGAGGCTGAGGCAGGAGGATCTCGAGTTCAAAGCCAGCTTCAACAATTTAGCGAGGTGCTAAGCAACTCAGTGAGACCCTGTCTCTAATAAAATACAAAATAGGGCTGGGGATGTAGGCTCAGTGGTCAAGTACCCCTGAGTTCAATTTAAAAAAAAAATTATTTGAAGGCTGGCAATGGCCCCAACATTCGATCAAGGCCCCTGCTTTATATACGCTAGCCAGAGGGATTATCTCATAAATGTGTTTCTCAGAGAAGAAGCACAGTCATCTTTGGAATTTTGTTCATTCAGTGCTTGGGACTGAACCCAGAGCCTTGTGCATGCTAAGCACATGCTCTACAACTAAGCTATATCCCCAGTCTTCATCTTTGGAAGTTACAAAAATAAGAAAAACTCAATTGTATGGAAATGTTTAAGCAAAGTTACAGGAATTGTTCATAAAAGTACCATATTGTGTAATATGATGCTGTAACTTAATGTTTTCTTTTCTTTTTTTTTAATATTTTTTCGTTCTCAATGGACCTTTATTTTTTATTTATTTATATGCGGTGCTGAGAATTGAACCCAGTGCCTCACACATGGTAGGCAAGTGCTCTACCACTGAGCCACCACCCCAGTACCTTAACATTTTCAAAAAAGGGTGAGAGCCATCTTTTACTCACATTCATTTTAATTACAAAGAATAGAAAACATAAACTTTTCCAATAATTATGTTCATACCTCACCAGTTCCATAGGGCCATATAATCTGATTCATTCTTAAAGAGTTTGAGTACTGATCTTGTAAATCCTGTGTAATGAAGGCTCCCAGCCCAGATCCTGTGCCCCCAGCTATACTCATTATGATGAAAAAACCACTCAAGGAGTCACATTTCTCCACTTCCTTCTGGATTAGGTTCATGATAGATTCTTCATGCCTAGGTCCATGTACAGAGTAACTGCAATGGCAAAAGAAACAAACACAAACACTTTTCAATTTAAACAGAGATGCAATGCAGAACAAAGAAGTCTTTTCAAAGCTTTGAAAGTGAAGTAACTCTCATGAAAGGTTCAGGTCCCTGACGGACAAAATCTAAAATACACTAGTCAAACACATTTAACAGGTGATTATGACTATTAGCAGAGTGCATTTACAGGATCCTGAAAGTTCTCACTTATAGGCCATTCATTGAGGTAGAGCTTTCAATTACCAGGTAGTTTATGGTAGAACATAATATTTTGTATATATAACAACAGGCCTAAAGCAGTGGTTCTCAAACTCTGCTGCACATTGGGAGTTACGGGAGCTTTGAACATCTCAATACTTGAGCTTCACTCCAAACCAATTAAACCATAATCTCTAGAAGTGAGCCCTAGATAGCAGGATTTACCTAAGACCCCCAGGAAATTCTAATGTTAAACAGCAGTAAAGTTTGTAACTACTGCCTTGTAGTGTTCTCTAGAACTAATATTCCCGCCAAATAAGGATATTGCATTGACAAGTTAGTTTGCAGCAGGTCAGCGATGATGGAAAACCCTGCTATAAAAGATCTTTGGTTTCATCCGTACTTGTATCTGAGGCAGAGAGAGAATGAAAATTTCTTCTCAGTGAAGTCAAATTCTCAATTTTAAAACAACAATTTCAAGATTGTGTGCTCCACATATTAACTGTGCAGTTGTAACTACAGGGTCTATTAACTAACTGTTAGCTGTAACCAAACTGAAAATCATGAGGAATTATTCTTACCCATATGCCCAGTTGTTTCCAGAACCTTGTTTTTGACAGAAGCATGCATGCTGACCATATTTCCATCGGCCAGACTGAGAAGCCTTTGTCAGAGTTTGATTGATAACCTTAGGTTCCATGTCAATAAGCACAGCCCGGGCAACTGGAACTAGACAGGGGAAAAAAAATCAACAGAAAAAATATTTCATATGTCTTATTTGGGTAACTTAAAAGCATAAACTTCTAGGTCACTGAGTTACATCTCCTGCCTTAGGTCCAGAGAGGGGGAAAAATCAGAGATTGGGAAAAGAAAGATTTGTCATAATGCATAGAAATACTGCAGCAACAGGTAAATGTAGACATTAAGCCCAGAGTTCTGCTAAGCGGGATGAATCAGTGTGGGATAAAATGGTCACTTTAGCTGGGTGTGGTGGCACCTGCCTATAATCCCAGCTACTCAGGGGGTTGAGGCAGGATTGCAGGTTTGAGGATAGACCAAGCAACTTAGCCAGACTCTGTTTCAAAATAAGAAAAATGAAAGGGCAAGGATATGGCTCAGTAATACAGTGTTTGCCTAGAATGTGTGGCCCAGGGTTCTATCCCCAGTACCACATACACACAAAAAAAGCCACTTTGGTCAGGTCTGCAATACCTATTGAATGCTTATAATGTGCTGTACTGGGAATACAGAGATGAAGACAACATCAAACCAATCCTAGAAGGACTCCTGGGAGAGATGAAACACAACAACAACTTAATCAGAGTGCACCATATGACCCACAATGAATCCATGCCAAAGGAGCAGCATATTCAGAGGTACAAAATACCACTGGTGCAAGAGGCAGCTCAAAATTGTTAAAGCAGAGGATGGAGGAGGGGGCAGAAGTGAAGGACAGGAATGGAAAGCAGACAGGGATCGGATCTTGGAAATTCTTGTAGGCAATGCTACAAAGCTTGAATTTGATCTTTTAGACAATGATAAACCACCTAGCATTTTCAAGCAGGTGAGGAAAATTGGATGTCTTTTTTAATACAGCAGAGTGGAGAACAGATGAGATAGATACAAAACTCTAGGCAAGGAAACCTAGAAGGAGTGTTTTGAAACACTCTAGGCAAGAGAGGAAAAGAGCCAGAACCAAGTCAATGACAGTGGAGATGAGAAGGGCAGAACAGCTTCCAGAGATATATGGGAGGCAAAATTAGCAGATTTTGGTAAGTGTAAGTTTTAAAGGCAAGATAATGAATGCCATGGGTATGGAGATGTTGCATTTGAGGTTCACATGGGAGATGCAACAGGAGATGTCCACTAATCAATCTACAGCTGGAAAGAGAGGCTGGGGTAGAGGTTTGAGAGTCAGTGGTATAAAAAATATAGCACATTATAGTGACTGAAATCACTCAGAAATATACCTGTGGGAGAAGAGGAGATTCTGAGGGGGAAAAAAACTCATAAGAAGAGTTCAGAGACTAAGAAGGAGGAATTTCAAAGAGGCAGTTTTGTAGTTAATGTTATCAAATCCAGTAGAGAAGTTAATTGAAGAAAAGAAAATCATGCAGCTGGGTGTGGTGGTGGTACAGGACTGTCAGTTCCAGCTACTCAGGAGGCTGATGCAGGAAGATTGCAAGGTTGAGGCCAGTGTCAGCCACTTAGCAAGACCCTGTCTCAAAAATAAGATTTACATAGAATGTAGCTCAGTAGTGGAGTATTTGCCTAGAATATGCAAGGCCCTGGGTTCAATCTCCAGTACCAAAATAAATAAATTAATAAAAATTTAAAAAAGAAAGAAGGAAAAGTAAAACAGTAATGAGGAAGTCATTGGAAACTCTTCTTTGAGCAGCTTCAGTGTGTTGTGGGGCAGAAGCAGGATTGCAGTTGGTTAAGCATGACTCTCCTTTGGAAATCTTGGTTGGAAATGCTAAGACATAAGAAGGAATAAGAAAGGTATAGTCAAGAGATAAGTGTTGTTTGGTTTCATTTTTTATTTTTTTATGGTGTTGGGGACTGAACTCAAGGCCTCACATATGCTAGGTAAACTATCCACCTCAGCACTACATTCCAACCCATTTGGGTGGTTTCAGATTCATAAAGTCTAAGCATACTTACCTGCTGGAGGAAAGATGTCCTGGAGAGACAAAGGTTGCTAACACAGAAACAAAGGGCCAAAATCATAGTTATTCCCTAGTGAAACTGGAAGGGACCAGGTACAGACACCTTAAATTAAGCAATTTAAGTCAGAGTAAAGAAAAGGACTATGGACTACACATACCTCCATTTTCTTCCTCCCTGAAGAATCTTTCTTGGCAAGATGCTTGATATGCCTCATTTTCTTTTTTAGAGCAGAGTCCTTGGAAATCATGTGAGTCACTAAATAAAGTATTAAACACTTCAAAACCAATCTGGTTGCCACACTGACCAAGCTGCACTGTTACTATTGACATGCTGAGCCATGAACTAGTCCTGTTTCTTCAAAAAAAGTGAGCAACCTGTAACAGAAAAAATACAGAATCACTACATTATTAATAAGAAAAAGTGAGATGCCATGTGCATTAACTGTAAATCAATAAAAAGTAATTTTAAAAAATGCCTATATGTATATGGTATTATATGTGAAACAAAATAGGTCTATTGTCTAAAGAGCCAGTCATTCAGGAAAGTTCTTCTCTTCTCTAGTTAGTTTTAGGATTTGGGATTTTCTGTTCCCAAATACATTCACACACAGCTTAATGGTTTCAAAAATCTGATTTGTACTCACTTTTTTTTTCCTATGTATGCATTTAAAATAAAACAAAGCAAACAAATCAAAAGAAATGCGAATTGAAGGAATTAGTAACAAACACTTCACAACACACGGACACTAGAAGTTGACTCAACAATCGTAGTTCAATTAACGTTAATTTTATCTCTGGTAAAATAAAAACTTAATCTCTTTCCACCAACCACCCTTCTGGCCTGGAAACTATAATTAACACTTTAAAGAAAGTCTTTGTGTTTAGCTCAAGTAATACAGCAAAAATGGAATTTGGAGAAAGGAGATCATATGATATAGTAAAGATCATTTAGAAATTGAACACAGGGGCTCTCTAACCACCTAGCTACATCCCCACCCCTTTTTACTTTTTGAGATAGGATTTCGATAAATTGCCAAAGGTCGGCCTTAAATTTTTTATCTTTCTGCCTCTGCCTCCCCAGTCGCTGGATTAGAGGGAGCAACATCGAGCCCAGCTAGATCTTCATTATTTTTAATGAAGACAATTTTGGTAAAGACTAACATCAAGTCCATGCAACACTGGAAATGAGCGTGGGGTGGTGGTGGTGGGGGGGGAAGGAGTTCTGAGCCAGCTTATGTACCCATAATTTCAAATCTTCAGAGTAAGTAATATTATTCTCATTTTACCGATAAGGAAAAACTGGTGCTCTGAAATGTTGTGTGACTTTCTCAAGGCCACCAAACTAGTAAGTGGCAAAGCCAAGACTCTCTGTTTTCCCACCGGCGGAGCTCCGGGCTACCGCCACTCACTGACAGCCCTCCACTCCGCCGCGGTTTCCTTCGAGTTCAAACTTCAGAGGATCAACCCTCTCACTATGCGCATGCTCCTTTCCGGAACTAAAAAGCCACAGAGAACGAAAGCATATGTTTCTTAAACGAAGAATTTTGCTGTACTCCCCGCCGTTTCTATTCAGAAAGGTTAATTACGCATGCTCGATTTCAATTTATCAACTTCAGATATGTTACGCATGCTCATTGTCCATCAAATTCTTTGGCTGACAATGCGCATGCTTTAGTCTCCCAGCGAGGCTTCGGGTGGAGTTTTGCGCATGTTTCTGCCAGTACCTGGATCCTGGAGATAGTTCTACGCATGTTCACTGCCCACAGTTTGACTTCATGGAACTCTATGCGCATGCTCTAGCGCTGAACTTGAAGAGCCAGTCTGGGGCCTAGGCGCAGACGCACTAAGCCTAAGCAGCCGGTGATGGCGGCAGCGGCGGCTGTGGCTGCGGCGGGTCCGGGCCCATGAGGCGACGACGGAGGCGGGACGGCTTTTACCCAGCGCCTGACTTCCGAGACAGGGAAGCTGAGGACATGGCAGGAGTGTTTGACATAGACCTGGACCAGCCAGAGGACGCAGGCTCTGAGGATGAGCTGGAGGAGGGGGTGAGGCCCGGGGTCCCGGGGGGCCCGAGGTGACAGGGCCAGGGCGGCGGCGCGGGCCCAGGAAGCCTGGCGTGTCCTAGAGCACGGAGACCCTGGGGGGCGCGAGTAGTCTCCTGGACTAGCTGAGGCGCCGCGCGGCCGCGCAGGGGACCTGGCGGGGAGGACCTGGCCCTAGGTATGAGGCCTCTGCGGGGCTCGCAGGTGCAGGTCGCGCCCTTATCCCTAGATCAGCGGAGCCCCCAGCAATCTGTCTGTAGAGAGGTGGAGAAAAGGGCGCGTGGTCGATTTCTGGAGCTGTTGAACTTGAGTGTGGCAGGACACGGGTGGTGTGAGCGTGTGTTTGGGGGATGGGGGTGCCAAATGTCCCGTAAGTGCAGGTGAAGCGCGGAAGGGTTTCCCTCGGAGTGTAAGATTTCAAGTATTAAATCTTCAGACCTCCCACAACCACCTCTCTTCTCGGCCTGTCGCTTCTCTCCTAGGAAGCGCTCAGCTGTTAGAAGTGACAGCTGAAAACTTCTGTCGGGAGTAGCACTGCCGCTGCTGTTACAGCCACCAGGAGTTTTATTTCGGGAGCAAGGGGGCTCTGCTGCATCTTCCAGGGTTTGTTTGTTTGCCTTTTTTTTTTTTAAACCCCCTTCCGTGTGACTTTTTTTTTTTTTTAAGTATCTATAATGACACACGGCATTTGTAACTTAATTTCCTCCAAGTTGAAGATGTCTGTATTTTTTTTCAGAATAATTTATGTAATTTTGGGGTGGGAAAAAACCAGTGTTGACAGCTGTGATTTGGCTTGCCAAAAATAAATTGCTTAAACTGAGACTTGTGAATAGTGGTGTGAGGACTTTCCTTGCTGTAATTTAGGGTGCTAAATTTAGAGTTGTTTTTCCTAATGCACGTCTCAATTTTACCTTTGCTGTGATACTATTGGTTATTCTTTATGAAATATAAATTTTTCTAAGATACTTATGGGAAAAAAACCAAATTGCACCTGCAGTGCAAAAATGATGTAGTTTATTACTGATTATGGACAAACGGTCTTCAAAGTTAACCTCATGGCAATTTAGATCCTAAATTCCATTGTGTATATGTAACTTATGACTGCTGTCAGATGTTTGCTGTAACCGCATAAAGGGCTTCCCTTCTCTTTTCTCACCCCCAATTTTCCTCCTCTGGCAAGTAAATTGTGTCCTACTGCTGACCAAAGATTGAGATGCTATATGTAAAGAACTTAGAACACTTCATGAAACTAAGTGGGCTAAAATAATACTGTTCTTTTCATAATCAAATGAGTTTCAATCGAAGTCACACAGTTTAGAAGGTGGGTATTGAGAAATTTTTTTTAAACTGATATATTTTTGTATGGAATTCTAGTTAGCCTCTTAATTGGACATAGTGAACACTAAATACAGTTTGAAACAAATACAAGATTACTTTTTATGTTTAATATACTCTGTTGTATTGGTTCCATATGGAAGTGGCTGTGGAGTAGGGCAGGGGAGAAAACTAGATAGAAAGAATGTGTTATGTCTTTGTTAGTTGAACCGATTTTCCAGACTACAGGTTTATACTCCTTTGAAAGTATACTATTGTATTAAGATTCCTTATATGAACGGGGACTTTGTTTTTCTTCTCACATTCTAAATGTGTTTCAGAAACACTAAGTGTTACAGGTTAGCTTTACTCCTGGGCTTTTGTTTTGATGAGCATAGCAAAATTCTGATAGGATGTGGTGGAGGGGGACTATAAGATTCTGATAGGTTATGGCAGAGGGGACCAGAAAAAATGGAAAAGCCAAGAAATGTGGCCATTACTTTAGGAAGAGGAAGTTTCAAAAAAGAGCAAAGGTAATTAAGAGCAAAAGATTTTGAGAGAGAGCCTTCAGTAAAATGTCTTACTTAGCAGTGCTGTTTATTTATTTTAATATATGACAGCAGAAAGCATTGCAGTTCTTTTTTTTTTAAGTATTCATTTTTTAGTTGTAGTTGGACTCATTACCTTTATTTTATTTATTTATTTTTACGTGGTGCTGAGGATCTAACCCAGGGCCTCGCGTGTGCTAGGCAAGTGCTCCACCACTGAGCCAGAACCCCAGTCCCCCTTTCGATTCTTATTATACATATAGAGCACAATTTTTCATTTCTCTGGTTGTATGCATAGTATATTCACACCAATTTGTGTCTTCATACCTGTACTTTGGATAATAATGATCATCACATTTCACCATGATCAATAACCCCATGCCCCCTCTCTTCCCCTCCAACCCCTCTGCCCTATCTAGAGTTCGCTTGTTCCTCCATGCTCCCGCTCCCTATTCCCTATGAATCAGCTTCCTTATATAAAAGAAAACATTGGTACATTAAAAAGTTAGCTGATTCATGGCAGTACTGACAGGTACTACTCATTTCCTTGGCAATGAACCAATCAATCAAGTTTACCCTCATTCATACCTAGAAACTTAATTATAAATGCAGTTATAGTATTTTTAGAACTGTAACGTCAGGGTTTTTTTCTTTTAATCATTGATCCTATATGCCTTTTTAGATATGTTACACTGAGTGAATCTGTAAGTATAGGTTTTTACATGCTTAATTAAATTTTCAGAGACTAAATGATGAAGAGATTGAATTGATGCATTTATGGATAAAGTAGAAGAATGTCTGTTATCTAATTAAACACAAAACAAACCCTGATTGAACACCCAGAGGAATGTAATAGTGTATATTAAAACCAATGGGTTAGAGTTTTGATGGGGGATTATTATTATTTTTTTGTATGTGATGCTGAGCATCGAACCTAGGGCCTTGTGCAAGCAAGGCAAGCACTCTACCAACTTGAGCCATATCCCCAGCCCTTTTTTTTTCTTTCTTTTTTTTTTTTTTTTTTTTGGTACCAGGGATTATAATAATCATAGAGGCTTACTATACAAGTTTCAGATTGGGATATCATATTTTTATTGAGTAGAATATTTTTGAAAAACTAAGTACTAGGTAGTGTATACTTAAATATGATTTTGAAAATTATAGAAAAAAATCTCATCAGTAATTGTCTTGTCTTGTAATATGTAATTAACATAAAGCAGCAACTATTTTTAAATAGCCTGAGATTTTGGGCAAGGTTTATCCCTTTCTCCCAGTTCATCTGGATTACTGAATCTCATAAAGGAAGTATATGTGTACATTCAGACAAGTGGATAATTGATTTCCTAAAAATCTTTTGTAGAGTGTGTGTGCCTGTGTGCACTGGTAATCAAACCCCTGGTTTGCCCATGCTAGGCCAAGTACTTAACCACTGAGCTATATCCCAACCATGGATAAGTGATTTAACAAATATCTGGACTAAGGATAATTTATTTAAACTTTTATAAAATCTACTCTCTTGCATTGGGTATAGGCATATTAATTTGAATTTGTATACATTTTTAATTTAAAACTTTGTAAATAGTCATTCTGGTGGGCTAGTTTGAAACAGTGTATCTTGTATAGTACCTTTTTTGTCAATCATAGTGGCACACAGAAAAAGTATTGGATGAATCGTAAAGCTTAAGAGAGCAGAAAAAATTCTGAATAGTTTCTTGTGAAAGAATGTCTTTAGTGTGTATTATATAGTGTAAGCTTCATTGTTCTGGTGTGAGACTTTTCTAAAGGAGGAGCAGAAAGAATTACACCTTTTGTGCCTTTGCCCTAGAAGGTAACGGGTAGAAGTTATAGGCAAAGATGCAGGTGGTGTTACAGGCCTGGCCAGCTCCGGAAATGAAACATAGCCAAAGGGCATATCTTATGAGGTGGCTTCAAAGTAATGGTTCTGTGTTAACTACTCTGTGGTCTTTAATTTAGAATTAAGTAAAATGGTCATTAAAAAAAACAATTATGTAATACCACTTTTATCACATCTAGGAGAAGTTAGTCTTTTGTCTTTAAGCCATCAGAGGTGATTATATGGAGCAACAGTGACCAAAGAAACTAACCATAGCCATTCATACCACTTCTGTTCGAAAATTGTATACAGTTGAAACTGTGAGAATTATTTTTCAGCTTGATAGTGCCCTATCCATTTGCATCAGTTCAGTCATGAAACATATATACATCCTGGTTTTACACTTTATCCTGAGTTCACACATGAGCAAATTATGACTAAGATAGTAAGTTTACGCCATGAACAAGTTATGACTAAATTTTGTGTTTTTAGGCTTTTGAATGTCTATTCTTTAAGAATACTACCAGTTTCATTGTGTATCTTGGCTGTATACTGATAACTTTAAAGATATATTAGCCTAAATGTCTTTGGAATTGTTCTAAAATTTTAACTTGAAGACTTCTGATTTTTTAGAGCCTTTTCTAAAGTGATACTCTTTTGTGTAAAACGACTATTCAGTAATTTTCATTTTAAAACTGTATTTTATACCAATAACTGAATTCCTGCTGCTAATTTTGTTATTATTATTTTGGTGCTGGGGGATTGAATTCAGAGGTGCTCTACCGCTGAACTATATATCTCCAGTCCCCCTTTCCTTTTTAAATTTTTAAATTTTGAGCCAGGTGCAGTGATGTACACCTATAATCCCAGTGGCTCAGGAGGCTGAGAGACAGGAGGATCCTAAGTTCAAGACCAGCCTCAGCAATTTAGTGAGGCCCTAAGCATATTAATGAGACCCTGTCTCAAAAAATGAAAAGGACTGGGGATGTAGCTTAATTGTAAATTGCTCCTGGATTAAATCTCCAGTACCCCCAACCCCCATTTTTTTTTTTTTTTTTTTTTTAATTTTGAGATAGGTCTTGCTGAATTGCCAAAGCTAGCTTCAAACTCACAATCCTCTTGCCTCAGCCTCTGGAGTCGCTGGAATTATAGGCGTGGGCTACTGTGCCTGACTTTTTTCACTTTCTTAATGGTATTTTTTAAAAAATATTTTTAGTTGTTGATGGACCTTTTTTACTTTATTTTATGTGATACTGAGAATCAAACCCAATGCCTCACAATGCTAGGCAAGTGCTCTACCATTAAGCCACAACCCCAGCCCTTAATGGTATGTTTTGAAGGCCAAGATTTTTAATTTTCAGTGAATCTAGATGATCAGTTCTTTTTCTTTAATCATTTGTGTTTTCAGTGATGGATCTAAGAAATCATTACCTACTTCATCATTATCTGTGTTTATTCTGCATTTTATCTCTTAGGTTTAAATCTTTGATCCATTTTGAAGGTTTTTGTTGTTGTTGTTGTCATTGTTGTTATTGTTGTTACTGAGAATTGAACCCGGAGGCACTTGACCACCGAGCTACATCCCCAACCCTTTTTATTTTTTATTTTCTTGAGACAGTGTCCACTAAGTTGTTTAAGGCCTCACTAAATTGCTGAGACTGGCCTCCAACTTGCAGTGCTCCTGCCTCAGCCTCCCACATGACTGGGATTATAAGTATGTGCCTTCATACCTATCTTGAGTTAATTTTTATGTATGTTGTAAAGTAAGGATACAAATTATTTTTTTTCATGTGAATATCTGGTTATTCCAGCACCATTTATTGAAAAACAAACTGAATATTCTTGGCATCTTTGTCGAAATCAATGACTGTAAATGAAAGGATTTATATCTGGGTTCTCAATTCTACTTCATTGATCCATATGTCTGTCCTTTGCCTCTACTATCTTGATTGCTGTAGCTGTGTATTAAGTTTTGTTTTGTTTTTTGATATTGGGGATTGAACCCAGGGGCACTTAATCACCGAACCACATTCCCAACACCACCACCCCCACCTTTTTTTTTGTTTTGTTTTTTGGAGACAGGTTCTCCCTGAGTTGCTTAGGGCCTTACCAACTTGCTGAGACTGGCCTGGAACTTGGAATACTCCTGCCTCAGCTTCCCAAATTGCTGGAATTACAGGCATGCACCACCACACCCAGCTAAGTTTTCAGATTGAGAAGTGTTAGTCCTTCAACATTGTTCTTTTTCAAGATCGTTTTGGCTTTTGGGGGTCTCTCACATTTCGTTAATATATAATATTTTATATTTATGTGTATGTATATATATAACATTATACATTTTTTAGTTGTTGGAAAAACTTTATTTTTAAAAAAATATTTTTTAGTTGTAGTTGGACACAATACCTTTATTTTATTCAGTTAATTTGATGTGGTGCTGAGGATCAAACCCAGGGCCTCGAATGTGCTAGGCGAGCACTCTACCTTTGAGCCACAACCCCAGCCCTTTATTTTTTATTTATATTCAGTGCTGAGAATCAAACCCAGTGTTCCACACATGGGCCAGGCAAGTGCTCTACCACTGAGCTACAACCCTAGCCCGGTTCCCTGCATTTCTATATGAATTTTAGAATGAACTTGTCTACATCCTCAAGAATGGAACCTCAGATTTTGATAGGATTCAATCTATTCTGTAGACCATCTTGGTTAGTATTGTGACTTGACAATGTTAAGTCTTCTAATCTATAAACAAGGAACCTAAACAGGAATATTTCGATTTTTTTTTTTTTTTCTTTTTTCAGTTTTTGGTACTGGGGATTGAACTCAGAGGCACTCAACCACTGAGTCACATCCCCAGCCCTATTTTGTATTTTTTTAGAGACAGGATCTCGCTGAGTTGCTTAGCTCCTTGCCATTGCTGAGTCTGGCTTTGAACTCAAAATCCTCTTGCCTCAGCCTCCCAAGATGCTGGGATTATAGGCATACATCACCCCAGGGAATATTTAAATCTTTAAAAAAATTTTCTCAGTGATGTTTTATAATTTTTTTTTTCTTTTTGATACTGGGGATTAAACACAGGGGCACTTTACCACTGAGCTACATCTCAACCCCTTTTTATTTTTTATTTTGAGAGGCTGGCCTCAAACTTGCAATCCCCTGCCTTAACCTCCCAAGTCATTGGGATTACAGATGTGTGCCACTGTGCCCAGCTATATCATACTTTTCACTGTTCTAACAAGTCTTGCCACTTTTGACACATTTTTTTCTAAGCTATTTTAAAAATATTTTTCATTGTAGATGGACACAATGCCTTTATTTTATTTATTTATATTTATGTGGTGCTGAGGATGTAACCCAGTGCCTCACACATGCTAGGCAAGCCCTCTTCCACTGAGATACAACCCTAGCCCCTAAGCTATTATTTTTGGGGAGCAGGGATACTAGGGATTGAACCCAGGAGTGCTCTGTCACTGAGCTTCATTCCCAACCTTTTTATTTATTTTTTGAGACAGGGTGTTGCTAAATTGCCAGGGCTGGCCTGAAACTTGTGATCCTCCTGTCTCATTCTTCCAAGTAACTGAAATGACAGGTGTGCATCACCACACCAGGCTTCTAAGCTATTCTTATAGATGCAATTGTGAGTGAAGTTTTCCTAATTTCATTTGGGGATTGTTCATTACTAGTGCATATAAGGTTAATTAAATTTTTTTACTCATTTACTCTGTAGTCAGAATGGTCAGCATGAATCCTAAATATTTGAGTACATTGCTTAATTATTTTTCCCTGATTAGCTCTATTGTACATTACATATCTTAGACTAGTTGTGATTATCTTAGACTTAGTTCAGAGCATTGTGTTAGTCTTCCTGACAGAAGCATAGCAGAATAGCACTTTGTGTGAATAATTTGATTTAATAACTCAGAATGTAATGCCTTCAGTTTCATCATGCACACGAATATATTTTTAATAGATATATGTCATTTTTGAAGGAAATGCCAGTTGATTTTGTTTTGAAATAATGAATGCGTGGACTCTGTAGTATAGTTATAATGTGAAATTAAAAGTGAAAAATGTGGAGGGGAGGAAGAAATTAAAAGAGAAAAAAAATTGAAAGTGAAGCCCCATAGTATTGTGTACTTTATTTTGTTCACCACCATATTTGCTGATTATTAAAGTATAGAAAATTTTTAAGATGGTTTATTTACTTAATTCTTTTTCAGTTATAAGATAAAACATTAAAAAAAAGATAAAACATTAAACTTTTTAATTTTATGTGTATGTGATTATTTACTTCTAAAATTTTTAACATATTTTTCAGGGTCAGTTAAATGAAAGCATGGACCATGGGGGAGTTGGACCATATGAACTGTAAGTTTATATGAAAAGATTTTCATTGTGCTTTCCTTCAAGTAGGTTTTACTAGTTCTAGTTCATAGCCATCAAGTGATTCCAGTAACTTGTTATTAAATATCTAGTCATTCTTATAGACTTGGTTTATTGAGTTTGGCACCAAAATCTGATCAATATAATAACATATCCAGAGTTGTTTTTTTTTTTTTTTCCAGGTGCTGGGGCTGGGGATTGAACCCAGGGCCTTGCACTCGTGAGGCAAGCACTCTACCAACTGAGCTATATCCCCAGCCCCCCAGAGTTTTAATATTATGTATAGCTTTTGATAAAAAGCTGTTTATTCAAATTCATGGTGTATTGAGTGAATCTAAATTTTTTTCACTGAAAAATTTGTATTAAAAAAATCAAACGTGTCTAGTTTTTTTTAATACATCATTCAAACATATTCATGCAGTCTTAAATCATTTTAAACAAGCTGTATTCAGTGAGTATGGTGATTAATCTGATCTGCACCAGACACTCAGGTAAAAAGCTTTGGTATGGGAGGAGATTGAGAATATAGATCACTCATATAGGAAACATAAATGACAGACACAATTGCCACCCCTTTTGGAGTATTTATTTGTGCCAGTACTGGGGATTGAACCAAGGGGTGCTCTACCACTGAGCTACATCCCCAGCTCTTTTTTTTTTTTTGGTACCAAGGATTGAAACCAGAGGCACTTAACCACTGAACCATATTCCAACCCTTTTTTGTGGCGGGGGGAGGGGGGGGGCGGTTTCCCAGGGATTGAGCTCAGGAGCACTTAACCACTGAGCCACATCCCCAGCCCTATTTTTAAAAATTTTATTTAGAGACAGGGTCTTACTGAGTTGCTTAGTGCCTTACTTTTGCTGAGTCTGGCTTTGAACTTGTGATCCTCCTGCCTCAGCCTTCAGAGCAGCTGGGATTACAAGCGTGTGCCACTGTGCCGGGCTCCCAATCCTTGTTTTATATATTTTTTTAGAGATAGTACCTTTCTGAGTTGCTTAGGGTCTCCCTAAGTTGCTGAGGCTGGCTTTGAACTTGTGATCATCCTGCATCAGCCTTGAGCCGCTGGGATTAGTTGTGTGTTCCCATGCCTGGCTAAATTTTTTATTTTGAGTCAGAATCTCATCAAGTTGCCCAAGATAGTCTCAAACCTGTGATTATCCTCCTCAGCCTCCCAAATTGTAGGGATTACAGGTGTGTGCCACCATGCCTGGCCATGGATAAATTTTATTAGCAAGAATTTTTGTAGCCTAAGGATGAACTAATTGTAAATTTTGAAAGATCTTTGATTTCGGCTGAAGTTGACAAATGGTGTTATATAATACCTTTTCTCATGGACATTTGAATTGGATAGGTTTTGAAAGATCCTAGGAAATCTAAATGTGAATAAGTATTCAACTATATTTGAATAACTAGAAGATTTTTTCCTTTGTCACCTTAATAAACTTATTCTAATTTCCCTTAGTTTGGAGGTGCTTCATGCGTATGAAAATAAATGATGGCGCATTCTGTGAACAAGCAGATAGACAATTATCAGCCCACCCTGATAATGACCTGCCATGTCATTAAATCATCAATTTTCTTAGAGCACAGATAACTAGTTTTATTGTTGTGTACTTTTTTCCTTTTACTTAATTGGATTCCATTTCTCTTATTGCTTTCTAACAATGTGACGAAGATAATTTAACTTTTTGCAAATTTACTTTTGGTTGTGCTTTTCTTCCCAGTGGCATGGAACATTGTGAGAAATTTGAAATCTCAGAAACTAGTGTGAACAGAGGGCCAGAAAAAATCAGACCAGAATGTTTTGAGCTACTTCGGGTACTTGGTAAAGGGGGCTATGGAAAGGTAGGAAGTATTTTTGAAATGAGAGCTGTTGTCTGTATTGGTTAGATTGCTTTTTATACCCTTGTTCTAGCAGTTATCTTTAATCTTTGTTAGCCATTAGCAAAGAATATGGTTTGACTTGAGGGATGTAAATAGTTCCATTTTCTTTCTTGCTACTACCACACAGGTAAAAATCTGCCACATATAGATGCTTAGTATTTGTTAAATAAGTAGGCACTGTGCCAGGCAAAGTCTAGTATTAGAAGATGGATTCTTTCCTTTAGTTAAATGATACCTTGTATAAGTATCCTTTACAAACTACTGCTTACTTTCAAAAGGCATGCACATTAAGTTATCTGTTATTGATCTCTTAATCTCAATTGATTTTCTTTGATTTGCAATTACCTGGAGAAATCAAGTTAGGGAAACTGAAAAAATAAGAAAGCAGACGAAATTTTACTATCATAGTTTTGCCGTAGGCAAGACCTCACCATTAGGTGTTCTGTCCAAGAAAACTTACATCCAGCCATTTTATTTCAAGAGACAGAATTTAGGTAACATCTTGGTTAGGATTAGGTTTTCATAATTATTTATATTATTATAAAGTATTAATTTTTGCCAAATGTGACATGTGTAGTTTATTCTTTAGCTTAAGGACATATCATATGTTTTGACCATTCTGAATGTGTAGCACATGCACTTCAAATTCACATATTTTAACTGTTGTATGAAAATGTTTTATAGATAGCTATTTTTTAATGGAATGGGTAAATGGCAATTCCATATCAACTATTATTAAATAGTTTTATATGAAACAAGAACAGTGGCATCTCTGGAATAAATTTATGAAGTATTTTATAATTTTTGAGTTTGTTATGCTTTTGGAAACCCTGACTATAATTTATTCTAAGTAAACTGGGATTTTATGTATTAAAGTAGCACAGAGTTCTCATCACTAGATGGTCGCTTTCTATCATTGCCAACAGATGGCAGCAGAACAAACAAGAAAGTTCCATGTTTAACAGATTTCACTAGTAAAATTTAAAATATGGTCTATTCCAGCTGATCATTTTTGCCCATACTACTTCTTGGTGCTAAGTTTTACAATATAAACTATTGTGTTAATTGTTTCATATAAATAGCAAGTAAGGGAGCATAACTCACATAATTTGGCTTTTAATAACACAAATTTTTATTTCTTTATTCAGGTTTTTCAAGTACGAAAAGTAACAGGAGCAAATACTGGGAAAATATTTGCCATGAAGGTGCTTAAAAAGGTGATTCCCTCCTCCTACTTTTATTCCCTCCACACAATGTTTTTTATTGCTATAAAAGTTTGACTTTGAATTCTCAGTCAGAAAAATGTATTTCTAGGGACTGAAAAGATAGTTCAGTGGTAGATGACTTGTCTAGGATGTAGGGAGCCCTGGGTTCAATCCCTAGTACCACCAAAAAAGAAAAAAAGCAAATGTGTTTCTGGAGGCTCAAGTTGTAGCTCAGTGGCAGAGCATGTGCTTAGCTTGCATGAGGCCCTAGGTTTAATCTCTAGCACCAAAGGATGGGAGGAATTATTTCTAATAATTATCCTCTTAGAAAGTGAGGTCTGTTTTGTTACTTTTATTCCTGTTTTATTTCTGCCTGGTGAGTGTGGAAAGGAGAGCACTTTCAGTTCTCTGAAGTAAATCTAGCTGGTTTTGGTCTCTTTTTTTCTTTTTCTTGTTTTTGGTGGGGGGTGTGTGTGCTAGGTGTTAAACTCAGGTCTAGGCAAGCATTCTGCCATGGAGCTACATCCCAAGCCCACCCCATCCCCTTTTGTGTTTTGATACTGGGGATTGAACCCAGGGATGTTTAACCACTGAGCTACATCCTCAGCCCTTTTTTATATTTTATTCAGAGACAGGGTCTTGCTGAGTTGCTTAGGGCCTCACTGAGTTGCTGAGGCTGGCTTTGAACTCGAGATTCTTCTGTCTCAGGTGGGATTAAAGGTGTACACCACTGCACCAAGCCCTAGTGCCGCCCCCCTTTTAAAATATTTTTTTAGTTATTGATAGACCTTTATTTTATTTATTTATATGTGGTGCTGAGAATTGAACCCAATGCCTCACACATGCCAAGCACGTGAGCTACCATTGAGCCACAGCCCCAGTTCTGCTAGTCCCCTTTTAAATATTATTTTAAAACTGGGTCTCACTAAGTTGCTCAAACTGGCCTCAAACTTAAAATCCATCTCCTCAGTGAGTAGCTGGGTTTATAGGTGTGTGCCATCACACATGACTAGTGTCCATATTGTTAAGTAATAAGCATATACTGCTATTTCTTAGTTCAGTTTTAGAATTATGTGTTGACTTCCTATTATAATAATTAAGGATCTTGGGGCTCGGGTTGTGGCTCAATGGTAGAGTATGCGCTTAGCATGCGTGAGGCACTGGGTTCCATCCTCAGCACCACAAAAAATGAAATAAAGATGTTGTGTGTCCACCTTCATCTAAAAAATAAAGATTTAAAAAAATAATAATTAAGGATATTAATTTCTTTTTTTCCTCACTTTTCATATCCTCTCATTTTGGTTCATTTTCTTTGACTGTGTGTGTGTGTGTGTGTGTAACTTTTTTTATTTTTAAATGCCTGATATTAGAAAGTGTTTTTAGTTGAGTAGAATAATGTGAAAAGGCTTAGGGAATTGAAATAAGAACATCAATTATTGGCATTAGCCTAGAGAAATAATTTTGTAAGAGTCAATGTTAGGGGCTGGGGACGCTCAGTGGTAGAGTGCTCTGCTGGCTTGCGCAAGGTCCCAGGTTCACGCAAAATAAATAAATAAATACTCAGCCTCACCCCCCACCCACCCCCGCCATGGGGTTAGAATAAAAAGAAAGAGTCAATGTCAGTATATTACTGTAAATATACTCTTTACAAATAAACCAAGTGGTGAAGATTTACTAGACTTAAAAGTAGAGTTTTGGCTAGTTATCATGAATTCATTGTGTGGTAGCAGTCTAGTCACTTAGCCATTTTGGTGATTTCCATTTGCTTTGATTTTGCTAATGTCTTCTCACACCTTTCAACAACTCTTTGAGACACCTGAAGTCTTGGATTTGGGCTGATTTATTAGATAATCTATCAGTTCCATTTATTTTCTTAAAGACCTCTCTTTAGAAACCTTCTATTCCCCTGTTTTCATCTGGACTGGTAGGTCTCTGGATAGACCTGTCATTACTGTCTCTTCATTATGGTCCTTAGAATTGATTGTTGGCTCCTTCAATATTGGATCCTGTTTTCTGGATCCCATATGATTCTTTTTCTTAGTTATGCCTTGTTTCCTTCTGCTAATAGCACCTTGAAAAAGGGTGTATGACGGTAAACATTAAAAAAATATTGCATGTTTGGAGCTGCTGTTGTAGCCCATGTGCTTGCCTAGCACATATTCGGTCCTCATCATCACATAAAAAAAAAGGATTGCATCCATCTACAACTAAAAAAATATTTTAAAAAATCTTGAATGTTCGAGAATTTCTTTATTATACCTTTGTACTTGTGTGTCTATATGTGTGGGACTGGGGATGGAACTCGGGGCCTTGTGTATGCTAGGCAAGCACTCAACCACTGAGTTACATCCCCACCCCTGCATAATGTTTAAATCCAGTTAACATATTTATCTCTTCAAACATTTGTCATTTCTTTGTGGTGAAAATTCAAAAGTTCTGTTAACTCTATTTTTTTTTTTTTTTTTTTTTGGTAGTGGTAGTGGTGGTGGTGGGGTGATTAAACTCTTGGGCTCAGTTGTGATCAAATAATCTTGCTTCATCCTCTCAAGTAGCTGGATCTATAGCTATATATCACCACCCCTGGCTCTTCTAGCTTTTTGAAATGTATAATATATTATTGTTATCTATAGTTACCTTATTGTGCAGTAGTACACCAGAACTTCTTGCTCCTATATCTGTAAATGAGTAAATACCATTTGATAAACTTTTCCCTATCCCTCCATCCATCCTACTCTCTGTAGTCTCTGTTAATCATCATTCTACTATAAACTATTGTGAGATCAATCTTAGCACTGATTGTGTTGTGTGTGTATGTGTGGGTATGGTACTAGGGATTGAACCCAGGAATATTCTACCACTGAGCTGTATCTCTGACCCTTTTATTTTGATACAGGGTCTTTTAAGTTCCCCAGCCAGCCTTGAACTTGGAATCCTTTTGCCTCAGTCTCTTGCTAAGGATTATAGGCATGCACCAGCACACTCAGTCCTTGTTGCTTTCTGTTTATAGAAAACTGTTTTATGAAAACATTATCTTCTCTTATCCCCCTGAGGAGGGTTTTTATTTGTTTTTTCTTTTGAAATTGAACCCAGGTCCTCCCATATTGTAAGCAAGTGCTCTATCGCTGCATTTCATCTGCAGCCCCTTCTGAGGTTTTTGTTTTTGTTTTGTTGTTGTTGTGTTTATGGTGCCAGGGATTGAACCCATAGCTGGTGCTTTACTACTGAGCCACATCTCCAGCCCTTTTTGCTTTATATTTTGAGGCAGGGTCTTATTAAGTTGTTTAGAGTCTCGTTAAATTGCTCTGGTGAGCCTTGAACTTGCAATCCTTCTACCTCAGCCTTCTGAGCCACTGGAATTACAGGTGTGCCATACCACACCCAGCTGAGGTTTTAATTATTTATTTATTTTGTAGTGCTGTGGATTGAACCCAGGGCCTTATACATACCAGGCAGACACTCTACCACTGAGCCACATATAATTCTTTAAGTTGTCTTTTCTTCCGTGTGTTGTGTCTTTTCTGAGTTTCTGTTTTGACTTTGGTTTATCTCTCATGTCGGTGTTAGAGGCTTTCTTTAGATGCCTGGTATCCTTCACTGATTGTTCCTGTTTAAGAGTGGCACTCTGAAAAGCTGATCTGAAGTTCTATGTGTAGGCTTCATTGTAGGGAATTTAAATAGTTAGCTGTTAATTAACTAAGAACCTCCAAGCAATAATGTCTTTAAGTCTTTTTTTCTGAGGCATATCAGTTGGGGAAAGTCCTCCATTCTTTTTGTCTTTATAAAGTTTTCTGGAACTGGGTGAGAGAAGAGATGGAGAGCTCACCTTTCAACTTGTAGACTTTGACTAAATTCACCTTTTTACTTTAGTATCTCACTCTGTATCTTATCCTTTACTCTTTTTTTTTTTTTTCCTGGAGAGCATACTTTCCTAGAACTAGCTCCCTGTTTAGTGCAGGGATGCGAATCTTTTTGCTTTATCTGTTCCTTATGCAGACTTTCAGATTTTTAGCTTTCTACCTTTGGCTTTCTGTAGTCTTTAATACCCTTAATGTTTTTTTCCTCTTGTACTGGGGATTGAACCCAGGGGCATTTTACACTGAGCTACATCCCTGGCGACCCCCGCCTTTTTCTTTTTTTTTTTTTTTTTTTTTAGTTGTAGACAGACACAATACCTTTATGTTATTTATTTTCATTTGGTACTGAGGATTGAACCCAGTGCCTCACACATATGAGGCAAGCATTCCACCACTGAGCTACAACCCCAGCCCTGCCCCAGTCCTTTTTAAAAAAAAAAAAAAAAATTTTTTTTTTTTGTAGTTGTAGATGGACAGCATGCCTTTATTTATTTATTTATTTTTTAATATTTATTTTTTAGTTCTCGGCGGACACAACATCTTTGTTTGTATGTGGTGCTGAGGATCGAACCCAGGCCGCACGCATGCCAGGCGAGCGCGCTACCGCTTGAGCCACATCCCCAGCCCTGCATGCCTTTATTTTATTTGTTTTTGTTTTTATGTGGTGCCAAGGATCAAACTCAGGGCCTCACACGTGCTATGCAAGAGCTCTTCCACTGAGCCATAGCCCCATCCTCCCACACCCAGCCCTTTTTATATTTTATTTTCAGACATAGTCTCATTAACTTGTTGAGGGTCTTGCTAAGTTGCTGAGGCTAGACTCAAACTTGTGATCCTCCTGCCTTAGCCTCTGGTATTGCTGTGAATACAGGCATGTGCCACTGTGCCTGGCCTCTAATTTTTAAAAATATTTTTGCCTCTGTTTTTTGAAACTTTTTAAGTTTTTATAGATGGAATCAACTTTTTTGTATCTTGTTCTTTACTGGTACTTAGGTTTGATCTGACCCCAGTCTACTAAGTCACAGACCATTGTTTTATCCACACTCTGTCATTACCTTTTGAGATGTAGGGTCTTTGTGTCTCCTAGTTTAACTTCAGATGGAATAATTATGTTCAGTTTCTTGTTCTTTTTGTATGGGACTGATTTCTAAAAAGTGT